ACTTCTCTGTGTAAAACCTTCTGTATGTAAAAAGCTCCTTTGTAAAGACTTCTCTGTGTAAAAGCCCCTGTGTGTGTGGGTAAAAGCTTCTGTGCGTCTCCTCCCTCCAGCTTTCTTTCGGGTCACGCTGTCGTCCAGTTTCAATCTGCAACGTTGTTTCTTGTGGAAGAGTGCAAAATAATGCAAAGAACATGTGAAAGCATCGCGTGTTTAAAAATTGAACATAAACAGCGCACAAAGTGCTGTAATTTACAGCATATTGCGCTGGCAGCTGGCAAGAACCCGCGTAAATACCACAGTTTTAGTCCCCCAAAGTGGCTAAAACACTGTTATTTACAGGGTTTCGTTCACGTCACGATCTTCGATTTTTTGGGAAACGCGTAAATACAAGCGTTTTTTGCGTTCATCAAGGCAAAAAATCGGTTCAAAAAGTGCAAAAAATGCTGTAATTTACAGGGGTTTGGCGCCGTCACGGGCAAAAAACTGTGTAAATACCAGCGTTTCAGCGTCCAAAAGTGGCTAAAACACTGCTATTTACAGTGTTTCGTGCCTTCCACGTTTTCTTGAAATTGCAAAACCAGTGTAAATACCAGCATTTTTTGCGATAAACTTGCCAAACATGCTGTAATTTACAGTGTTTTTTGGCTTGGCTTTCAAAAACACTGGTATTTGCAGTGTTTTGTGCATCTCGGGTCAAAAAAGTATTGGTATTTACAGCATTTTCTGCGTTTTTGCATTGCTCCCGCAAAAGACGTTAAAACGCAAAAATGCTGTAATTTACAGCATTGTGCCCATTTCGAAAAGCTGAAAATCGTCCGAAAAATGTGTCAAAACGACAATTTTTTTCGATTTTAGGTACCCTCAAAACGGGGGGGGGGCGGGATTTTGCTCTTGGAGACGCTTATGAGCGACCCGGATTCCGGCCAAAAAGCTCTCCCCCACCCTCCTGAAGGATTTTTGGTGTTTTTCGGGGCCCGGCGTCCGAGGGTCGGCGGTTTGGGGCGCGCCTCACCTTAGAGCTCTAGTCGCTCTGGGACGCTCGTAGGGCAAGCCACTCGTGGGGAGCCGGCGGAGCCGAATTTAAGGGCTGCCGCCCCTGCCGCCGACCCCGGAAAAATGGGGAAAGAGGAAACATCACGATTAACATTTCCCATATGTGTGTCGGTCGTGTTGTGTATGTGTGTTTATATGTATATACCTTGAGCAGCCTTTGCTCACTTTTATATAACATCGCCAGCTTGCAAACCAAGAAGCAGGCATCTAGAAAACATGTCTTTTTCCCAACCTTTTCCGCTTTTTCAATCTCCCATCAGCTCACCTGCTGCTGCTGCTGCTGCTGCTAACAGAAGAGTAGCAAGAGCACCTCCCGGCACCAAAACAGCAAGGCACGGAAGGACGAACATGCCCAGAATCGCACCGAAAAAGTGCCTAACGTCCCTTCTGAATTCCTAGAAAAAATGTCTTTTTCCCAACCTTTTCCGCTTTTTCAATCCCATCAGCCCACCTGCTGCTGCTGCTGCTGCTGCTGCTGCTGCTAACAGAAGAGTAGCAAGAGCACCTCCCGGCACCAAAACAGCAAGGCACGGAAGGACGAACAGGCCCTAGAATCGCACCGAAAAAGTGCCTAACGTCCCTTCTGAATTCCTAGAAAAAATGTATTTTTCCCAACCTTTTCCGCTTTTTCAATCTCCCATCAGCGCACTGCTGCTGCTGCTGCTGCTGCTGCCCAAAAGCACCTCCCGGCACCAAAACAGCCGTTGCTGCTGCTGCTGCTGCTGCTAACAGAAGAGTAGCAAGAGCACCTCCGGCACCAAAACAGCAAGGCACGGAAGGACGAACAGGCCCTAGAATCGCACCGAAAAAGTGCCTAACGTCTCTTCTGAATTCCTAGAAAAAATGTCTTTTTCCCAACCTTTTCCGCTTTTTCAATCCCATCAGCCCACCTGCTGCTGCTGCTGCTGCTAACAGAAGAGTAGCAAGAGCACCTCCCGGCACCAAAACAGCAAGGCACGGAAGACACTGCCCAAAAGTGCCTAACGTCCCTTCTGAATTCCTAGAAAAAATGTCTTTTTCCCAACCTTTTCCGCTTTTTCAATCTCCCATCAGCTCACCTGCTGCTGCTGCTGCTGCTGCTGCTGCCCAAAAGCACCTCCCGGCACCAAAACAGCCGATGCTGCTGCTGCTGCTGCTGCTGCTGCTGCTAACAGAAGAGTAGCAAGAGCACCTCCCGGCACCAAAACAGCAAGGCACAGAAGGACGAACAGGCCCTAGAATCGCACCGAAAAACTGCCTAACGTCCCTTCTGAATTCCTAGAAAAAATGTCTTTTTCCCAACCTTTTCCGCTTTTTCAATCCCATCAGCTCACCTGCTGCTGCTGCTGCTGCCCAAAAGCACCTCCCGGCACCAAAACAGCCGTTGCTGCTGCTGCTGCTGCTGCTGCTAACAGAAGAGTAGCAAGAGCACCTCCCGGCACCAAAACAGCAAGGCACGGAAGGACGAACAGGCCCGAGAATCGCACCGAAAAAGTGCCTAACGTCCCTTCTGAATTCCTGGAAAAAATGTCTTTGTCTTTTTCCCAACCTTTTCCGCTTTTTCAATCCCATCAGCCCACCTGCTGCTGCTGCTGCTAACAGAAGAGAAGCAAGAGCACCTCCCGGCACCAAAACAGCAAGGCACGGAAGGACGAACAGGCCCTAGAATCGCACCGAAAAAGTGCCTAACGTCACTTCTGAATTCCTAGAAAAAATGTCTTTGTCCCAACCTTTTCCGCTTTTTCAATCCCATCAGCCCACCTGCTGCTGCTGCTGCTGCTTGCAGAAGAATAGCAAGAGCACCTCCCGGCACCAAAGCAGCAAGGCACGGAAGGACGAACAGGCCCTAGAATCGCACTGAAAAAGTGCCTAACGTCCCTTCTGAATTCCTAGAAAACATGTCTTTGTCTTTTTCCCAACCTTTTCCGCTTTTTCAATCTCCCATCAGCTCACCTGCTGGTGCTGGTGCTGCTGCTGCTGCCTACTGCTGCTGCTGCTGCTGCTGCCGTACTGCCGCTGGCTGCTGGCTGCCGACTGCTGCTGCTACAAGCCCCTTCTCCTGCTGGTGTGCTAGTGCTGCTGCTACAACTCTGGTGCTGCTGCTGCTGCTACAACTCTAGTGCTGCTGCTGCTGCTACTACTGCTGCTGCTGCCTTACTGCCGCTGGCTGCTGGCTGCCGACTACTGCCTACTGGCTACTATTGCCGCTGGCTGCTGGCGACTGACTATGTGCTGTTCTACCCTCTAGAATAGAAGTGGTACTAGTCCGAAACCAGGGTCAAATGTATTATTCCCTAGCGCGCTCCCCCTTGCGTCTGCCGGGGTCGGCAGATAGTAGTATAGTATCGTATCGTATCGTATCGTATAGTATAGTATAGTATAGTATAGTAGAGTATAGTAGTAGCAGTGCAGCACCTCTTCTTCCCTTACGCGCTCCCCTTGCGTCGGCCGGGGTCGGCGGATTTCGGGGGAGTTGTGAGGCCCCGCCAGCTACTAAGGACAAATTGACTGAAACCAGGGCAAAAGCAGCAGAGCTTTCCATACGTTGCTCAAAAATGGAAGAGTCGAGTTCATCGCTGTCGAGGCCACAGTTCGGCATCCGTGTCAAAAAGTTGCAGCGCACCACTGGAGTTGCAAGGGATTTAGCCTTGAAATGTCGCATCGCACAAGCTCGTAGAGATCTCTTGGGGCGACTGGCAAGGCAGTTAACTAGTGATGCTTTCTTGCAGGGTGCCTCTGCAGTGTTGGCCATTGTTTTTGACGTGAACAGAGAAGTCAGAGAAGTGAAGGAGTGGAATGAGGTTCTTAGCAGGTCTGTCCGAGAAGCTATGCAGAAAAAGGTTCCGGAAGTCTCAAACTGCTGCGTTTCCTGGGACATCGACAATGATCAGCTGATTCTTTACATTCTGAACCCGTCTTCAAACTTTGAATCTGAATTTGCAATACACAGTGACGGCACCTGTCAGCTTGCGCCAGTGGTTGAGGCCGCTATCAGGGCTGAGCTTGGCAATTCAGAGCTGACTCTGGGGGTTTCGCCAAAAGCATCAAGGCGATTCAATGCAGCACAGATTGATACCCCTTTGGACCTTCTGAGTTTGGGTATTCACTTTCACGGCCTACAAGGGAGCGCTTTGACAATTGATTGGGTGGAGCCTGCGAGATGGGCAGATGTTTTTGGTTTGAAGATGGATGATGTGATCATTTTTGCGAACCAGCGTTCAACTGCAGAAATGACACTGTCCCAGATACCCCTCCATGCTGAGGGCGGTGGCCTCAAATTATGCGTGTCAAGGGCAGTGTGACAAATGTCGGAACGCGAAAAGAAGAAACAGAAACAGCCATACAACAAGATTTGCAGTGACGCTCTCACAATTCACGCGTTCTATATGATCTCAGGGACGAAAATCCATGAAAATCCCTATTTGCGAGGGGCCACTTGAGGAGGAGGAAGTGTGAAGTGAAGATGCTTGGTCTGAAAATCTGTGCGAACACTCGAGAATCATTGACGTACAGAGTGGCATCCCAAGTACTTTGATTTGCTAGTTTCAACCTGGCCTTACTATGGCTACCACGGCCTGCAAGTAGAGCATGCACCTCCAAGATCTTCCAAGATAAATGAACGAAAGGATGAAATGAAGCTTTTGCCGGGTGGACTGAAGGTGCGATGGGCGAAGCTAATGTACAGTATATACTAGTAGCCATATAGCAGGAAGACTACGGTTCGAATCGGTTCGATCCGGTTTCAATTTCAAAATATGAACCTGTTCCGGTTCGATTATCAATATAGAATATATAGAAACCCCATCCAGTTCCCGGTTCCTGCCGGTTCAAGCTTGGCGATGATTATGATCTTCATTGGGAACATGGCCTCTCATCACTAGGAGCTCTCATGGACTCATTTTTGAAGATCAGAATTAATTCTTTAACATTCATAATCATTAAATTTAATTCCAAATAATTTCAATTACATTCATTGTCTGAGAGGTTGGCATGTGGGCCAGTCCAATTGCAGCATTTTGCTCAGAGACAGAAGAAAGTGGCAAGCACTTGAAAAAATGGCAGCAAAGTGCTGGCTGGGATGGGGAGAGTTGCCTGTGATTGATCAGCTTGTGTTTTTTGTTGAATGTTTTGGAATGAATTTGAATGTTTTGGAATGTTCTGGTACTATCTGTAATTTTCTGGAATGTTACCCAGTGTTTGATGAGATGCCCTATCATGAGGGCCCCTGAGCCCACAAATGATATGAGTTTGAACAAAGCCCTTTTATTTTTCATTTTTCAATGGGCCCCACCAACGCAATGCCAATGGGGGGAGTTTCCAGTCATGACATAAATACATCATATTACAAGGCGTCATTATGTATTTGGTTTCATCAAAAATCTTCATGGGCATAGAATCCATATTTTGTAGCTAGCCCACCTTGCCCCCCCCCCCACGGGTCTGAAAAGGGTCTGAAAGGCTTTTGAAAGGCCCCTGAAAGGCCAATCCTGGGACCCAATACATGGTTAAGAAATCCAATCCTTTGGAATGTGTTATCAAACTTCCGACAATATGGACAGATGGAAAAGCAGAGTGGGAAGAGTCAGAGAAAGAGAAAAAGTCAGAAGAAAGAAGATGCGGAGGAGGGCCGCGAAGCACATTTCCAAGTCAAAATGTACAAAACACCACATGTTCGGACCACTTTTGGAAGTTGCGATGTTGAAAAAGCGCATGCCGTTGTGGCGCGAAGCACATTTGGAAGTCAAAATGCACAAAACACCTCAGTGTCGGAGCACGTTTGGAAGTTCAGATGTCGAAAAAGTGCACGCCATTGTTGTGGGAAGCACATTTCCAAGTCAAAATGCGCAAAGCACACCATGCTCGGACTACTTTTGGAAGTTGACGTCGAAAAAGTGCACGCCGTTTTGGCGCGAAGCAAATTTTGAAGTCAAAAGTGTAAAAAACTGACGGGTTTGGAGCACTTTTGGACGTTCGTTTCGAGTGGCAGGCGCAAGGGATTATGCACCTTGTCAAAAGCGAGCAAAACGTGAGGGTTTTGTAGTCACTAAAACGATGGCGGGCGTGGGACATATACAGAGGATCTGGCAAGATGTCTTTCGCGTGGTGGGCGCAGTACAAGAGACATGTTCATCAGAGCTGTTCGGAGGTCAGGGCGCTGATTTCCTGAGAGGGGTTGCATTTTGGAGCATCAGATCTTCAGGTTTGCTGCTGAGATGATTTTGCGTCACAGGTGCAGCACTTCGTATGACCCGGTATCACTTTTTTGTTGCAGGCGCAGTAGTTTAGATAGGTGGTGGAGTCGAAAAATCGCAAAACGCATTGGCACGAGGCCGTCAGCTCTGCACTCAACTTTCCATTTTTGAAGGACGTCTTGCAGAATTGTTTCGTTTTTGATGTTGTCAACTTCGAAAATTGAAGGGTCTGGCCGAGTTGCGTCGTTTTTGACGTTATCACTTCAAAAATTAAAAAAAGTCTCACTGGATTGTTTTGTTTTTGACGTTGTCAAGTTCAAAAATTGAGGAAGTCTCGCAGAATAGCTTCGTTTTCAATTTTGCAGGTAGGCAGATGGATCAAAAACTGCAACTACCACTACCACTACACTACAACTACAACTACAACCACAACTGCGTTACAGTACCCTACGCTAATTACAGTACACTACACTACAACGACATCTACAACTACAACAACAACCGCCACTACTACTACTACTATTACTACTACTACTACTACTACCACTACTACTACCACCACCACCACCACCACCACCACCACTACCAGTAGTACCGCACAAGGCGCTGGCGGAAGTTTCAGAAACAGGACACCTATAGGAGAGATTGGTTGTTGTGAATCACGGATGGCAGAGCGAATCCACTGATGGACCGAAAGCTAGTTGGAGCTGTGTTTTTTGGAGTGGCTGCAATGGTTGCAGTGGTCACCTGGTCGGTCACCTCACCCACAACTGCTGGATGTAGCGTGGTGTAGCGCAGATGTAGTTGTAGTTGTATTGTAGTGGAGTTGTAGTTATGCTGTAGTGTAATTAGTGTAGCGTAGTTGCAGTTGCATTTGTGGTGGTGTAATGAGTGTATTGTAATGTAATGTAAGGCAATGTGGGGTAGGGTAGTGTAGTGTAGTGTAATTGAGTGTAGCGTGGTTTAGTGTAGTGTAGTGTAATGCAATTAGTGTAGTGTAGTGTAAAGTAGTGTAGCGTAGTGTAGTGTAGTGTAGTGTAGTGTGTTGTGTGGTGTAGCGAAGTGTGGTGTAATGCAATTAGTGTTGTAGTAAAGTGTAGTCTTATGTAGTTGTAGTTGTAGTTAGTGTGATGTAGTGTAATGTAGTGTAGTGTAGCGTAATGTAATGTAGTGTAGTTGCAGTTGCAGTTGCAGTTGTAGTTGTAGTTGTAGGTCTTAGTGCAGTCTCATTCAGTGTAGTGGAGTGTAGCGTAGTGTAGTGTACTAAGTGTAGTGTAGCGTAAGTGTAAATGTAGTATTGTTGTGGTTGGTTGTAGTTAGCGTAGTGGAGTGTAGTGTAGTGGAATGTAGTGAAGGTGTAGTTTTAGTTGTAGTGCGGCGTATTGGAGTGTAGTGTGGTGTAGTGGTGGTTGTAGTTGAAAATGCTACAAAACCCTCACGTTTTGCTCACTTGTGACAAAGTGCACAATCCCTTGCGCCTGCCTCGCGAAACGACATCTGAACTTCCAAAAGTGGTCCGAACCCCTTATGTTTTTAACATTTTGACTTCGAAATGTGCTTCGCGCCGCAACGGCGTGCACTTTTTCGAGATCTGAACCTCCAAAAGTGGCGCGAACATGTGGTGTTTTGTCCATTTTGACTTCGAAATGTGCTTCGCGCCACAACGGCGTGCACTTTTTCGACATCTCAACTTCCAAAAGTGGTCCGACAATGGTGTGTTTTGTACATTTTGACTTCAAAATGTGCTTCGCGCCACAACGGCGTGCACTTTTTCAACATCTCAACTCCCAAAAGTGGTCCGAACATGTGGTGTTTTGTACATTTTGACTTGGAAATGTGCTTCGCGCCACAAGTGCGTGCAATTGTTCATCTCTCATCTGGCCAGATGGCTTTGCACCCGCCGCTTTAGCGAGCCTACTTTTCGACCCTCCGGAGCCACAAATCATTGAAAAACATATAATGTTTCGTGACTTTCCTACCTTTTCGCGCACCTGCATCTTCTTTCTTCTGACTCTTTTTCTCTTCTCTGATCTTCTCTCTGCTGCTCTTCTCTCTTCTACTCTTCTCTTCTCTCTGAATTTTCCCATCTCTGCTTTTCATCTGTCCATATTGTTGGAAGTTTGACTTCTAAACTTCCTTCGGCTACTACTGCTAAAATCTAGCTACTCGAAGCTCCGAAGTTATCCGAAGCTACAGTCAGAGTCTGGAGTCATCTGAAGTCACTGTCTGGAATCATCTGAAAATACGGGCTAGTTTGGTCTTGGTAGTCTATACAGTATATCGTATCTACCTCGGGCCCGGGATTGGCCTTTCAGAGGCTTTTCAGATCCGTTTCAGACCCGCCGGGGGGCTAGCTACACAATGTTGATTTTACAACCCCATGCAGCTTTTTGATGAATCCCAATCATAAAGCCGTCTAGTATGATGTCTGAAAGTTTTGAAGATTGTAGTTGGGAGTGGGATAACCCAAAAAATCAATTCAATGGATTTCAATGGCCCCGATGGGCCAAAGGCACCGGCTTCCCAGCCAAGAGTCAAGTTTATTGTTTTTACGGGTGTCTCGACATAATTCCCCTAATCCAGAACCTTTTCCGGTTCGCTTTCGGTTTCTACTAATCTAAACCGGTTCGCCGGTACCCAGTTCGGTTCGCAGCCTCCCTGATATAGATCTTCAGTGAGCAGCGGATCTTGGTGCAGTGGAGAAACACCATTGGTCCGCTTGGGGTGGCAGCCAGTGCCTGGCCTGGTACGTTCCAGTAATGGATGATTGCAAAGTGGGCAGGGCATTTCGCCACATTTCAGGTTCGGCAATGATCAGCCAAGTTGGCTCAAGCATGCCAGAGCCGATACCAGCTTTTCTTGCTATGCATCATTTCCAAGCACCTGAGCTGAAGAAGAAACAGTTTTGGCATGGTCTTGCATGATACGCCCAGTTTTTTGAAGGAGTACTTAAGATTACGTACTTCGGTGATCCAAATGCTTTTCTTTGTTCCCATCGTGGTCGGTTGTCTTTCAAGGCACCACCCCGCATTACTGCGGTACAGCCCGGCGAAAACGACACAGAGGCAGCGCTAACCAACGCACAATTAAAATTCTGACTGAGTGAAGCAATGTCAACGATACTTTCAGAATGAGTTGTGTTTTTGGAGGTTACCCGATGTTTTGGGTATCTTTCGCATGCTTTCGTTTCTTTGATCACTGCAGCCTGGGAATTCACAGTGTTCGAGGCTCAAGGTGGTGTACCCGCAACAACAACTGAAGAAACTGAAGACAAGCTGGATTTGCTGGAGGCTTGAGCCTTTTGAGCCTTGAAGGCTGAAATCTGAAGAGCGCCATCAGAACTTTTGACCCGACTGGCATCATATGTTTGGACTTGTTTTGCCTTTAAAGCTACTGTATGAATTTCTTTGTTGGGGACATCACAGTATATTGTATTGCAGTATGTCAGTATTCACATAACGATTCAACAGGTGTGATGCCCAGTGTTTAATACGTTGTTTTTTCATGTTTTTTCCCTAGGTCCGCTCTTGCGGAAGCTTTGACCAAAAGTCGCAATCTGACACAGATGCAGACGACTTCAAGGTGCCATTTGCCCGAATGCGTAGCAAGGGTTCCCGTTTCACTCTGGGGTTGTTGGGGGTTGAGGGTGTGTTCGCTCGACGTCCGCAGCCGTCCGCAGCCGTCCGCAGCCCCAACCGTCCGCAACCGTTCGCGCGATCCCCGTATGGCTGTGCCTTTGGTAAGTTCTGCAGAAGGAGTCATTTTTGGAGGCTTCAAATGTCGCGTTGCTTCGTTTCGCGTGGCAGGCGTGTCACTGCGTGACAGACGTGTTTCGTAAGGTGTCGAAAGTCGTTTTGTGTGGCAGGCGCAATACTTTTGCGACGTTTTCGCAAGATAAGTTGCAGTTTTCGTGGCAGGCGCTGCACTTTGGACGTGTCGAGCGTCATTTTGCGTGGCAGGCGCAGCACTTTAGACGTGTTGCGTTGCGTGTTTTTTTTGCGAATCGCATTGTCAGGGCTGCGTCAAGTGACAAGGTGCAAATTCCGTGGCAGGCATGGCATTTTGTGAGATACAATTTATAATGAAAATTGACGGAATCCTCGCACGAAACATCAATTTTGAGGTAGCAAATTTTCAAGTTCTAAGGGAAACTCGTAGGAAAATCGACGTCGAAATGCTCGTTTTGATGCCCCCACGTGCCTCGTCTCGAGTCTCTGCTTTTCCTCTAACCTCGCCGTGTCTATGGGGGAAGCCGCATCTCCTTTTCGAAGGTTTCCAAGCAGGTTGTCATGCCGTTTTGCGTGGCAAGCGCGGCACTTCGTGACATTCCAACCTGTTTGACAACATGTCGAAAGTCGTTTTGTGTGGCAAGCGCAATATTTTTGTGTCGTTTTCACAAGATGAGTTGCATTTTTTGTGGCAGGCGCGGCATGTTGGAGAGCGTGGCAGGCGCAGCACTTCAGACGTCGCATTGCCTGCTCTACACTCCACAATCCACACTCTACACTCCACACTCCCCACTCCCCACTTTGCACTCCACACCCCACACTTTACACTCCACACTCCACACTCTACACTCTACACTTTCCACTCCGCACTCCGCACTCCACACTCTACACTTTACACTCCGCACTCCACACTCTACACTCTACACACCCCACACTCTAACTTTACACTCCACACTCCTTACTTTACACTCCGCACTCCGCACTCCGCACTCCACACTCCACACTCCACACTCTACACTTTCCACTCCACACTCCACACTCTACACTTTACACTCCACACTCCACACTCCACTTTACACTGCACTTTACACTCTACACTCCACACTTTACACTTTACGCCTTGCACTCCTCACTCCACACTCCACACTTTACACTCCACACTTTACACTCCACACTCTACACTTTACACTTTACACTCTACACTTTACACTCTACACTCTACTCTCCACACTTTACACTTTACACTGTACACTCCTCACTCCCTACTTTACACTCCACACTCCACACTTTACACTCCACACATTTACATTCCACACTCTACACTACACTGTACACTCCACCCTCTTCCGCATTCCACAAGGTCTACAGTGCACTGGTACGGTCACAGGGGAAAAATGTAGACTGTTCAAATATCTTGTTTCACAATAGTGTTCTACGTGGCTGCATTCGGGTTCGTGGGCTGCATCTTGTTTTCATTGGAATTGATCACAGCCTGCATGCTGGTTAATTTTTGGGCCCGCTCAGCCCACGCATGCCGACAGGATTTGTCACCGGAAAAGACAAGCGAAAAGGCAGGGATGCTGATCACTTGAGCACATGTTGTTTTCAAAGGGCTAGCCATGCCATTTTTTGCTAGCCGGCCAAGCGAAGAGGAGCATGGGCCATAAGTCATACATTGCCATAATACAAACCAGAAACTAGAGATGAATGATGATGAATGATGATTAATGTCTCAGGTATCACTGGCGATATCGTGGTGAGGTAAAACACCTGTGCCCTGAACGTTTCTGCTAGAGCCGACTCGTTGAGACGCACAGGAAAAGGAAAATGATGATGAATGTCTTAGTAGACATGAATAGACTTAGGAACCCCTGAGTTTCTGAGACCTTTGCTCTACTTAACCGCGGGAGGCCAAAGGGCAGTTTCTGGAGAAGCTGAATTTTAGCCCTGAGGGGAAGGAAATGGAGGCAATGCAGCCACTAGAGGCTGGCAACATTTGGCAATCGGAAAGGGTCATGATGGGGAGAGGGCCTTGTCGTCCGAATAGAATCATGGAATGACCACCTGACAATGTTCATCATGTTCCTTGCCATTCCTTCACTGGTGATGTATGCACACAGTTCGTGACCGTGGTTGGTTTCTGGCATGCTTTGCTAAGCTTCATCGCCACGTGGCTCCAAGCGGCTCATACGTACCGCAAGTTTTGGGCGCAGTTATTGTGTGCCAGGACACTGCAAAAATTACAAGTGCGGTGGAGCCAGCTTGGAACCTAGCAATTTTCTGCAGGGAGAAGGTATACAACGGCGAATTGCAAACAGAATGGTGGCTGTTTCATGCTGTTTCTACATGATTGAAGCTGGTTTGCTGTCAGGACATAGAAAAGGTTGGAAGTGCTTTCGCTCCTGCCCGAAACCTAACCTTCCCTCCCTTGACATGTGGACCATGGTGGACAAGCAGGCCCTTGTAAACTTTGGCTGGCCCTTGCACTGTTGAAATTTGATGCAAATGGTGCAGATGACAAGATCAAAAATCAAGGAGGTGTCTCTGAAGCGGGATAGCGACAGAGAAACCAAACAGGCCACTGCTTCAATCACCTCGAATCTTTTCAATGCTTTTTGCCATCGGCCGATTGTATTGTGCCTGAACTTCCAGCACTTCCTGCGCAGATTTTAGGATTGATTACGAAAGACAGGCTAGGCTGAAGCCATGCTGAACTTGATTGAATTATGTTTCCCTTGTGTATTTGAGAACAGGAGGGCAGAAGGGTGCGTAGGGTGCGCCGGAGGGGCATATGCGCGCGCGTCAATACGTAACGAGAGTCGTATTGCTCGGAAATGAAGGAAGAACTAGCTACAGTAGCGTCGAACTGTTTGGGCATGCTCCTGGCGCTGTCATGAAGCGATGATGTGTGATGGCAGAGTTTGGTTTCGTGATGTCTCAGATGATGCCTTTGGGATGTCGGGGAGGGAAAAACAGGCTTGCAAACTCGTTTGAAATACGTGCGACTGGAAGGGATAGCCCTGGAACACCGCTTGCAGACGAGAAGGCTTGTTTGCCACTGAGCTTATAGCGGCATCATTTTGTTGGGAAAAGGGTCATACGACTGGTATTGTTTGATGCAGTAGATTTTTCAGAACAGGGACATCAAAGACAATCTGGGAGGTATTTGTCGGAAAGAGGTGCGGAGGATGTGATTATGTGGTAGGAACAACAGGCTGCTTGATAAAGTGAAAGGCTGCCCAAAGGTAGCATGCGCAGGGTCTTGGCATCTCTTCAGCATGGTGTTGGAGTTGCGGCGGGGAGGGGTTGCGTAATGGCGAAGTCGGAGTTGAGGAAGGATGTTGAGATTTTGATGTGTTTATGGGTGATGGGCTCAGCTTCGTTCATGCTCGTGTCATTTCGAAAGCCAACAGAAGGGGTGCGGCTGTGATTTGCACAGCGCACGGAGTGAGCGTTAGGAGGTGTGCATGGGTGGGGCGCAGGGAGGCGTACTTTGGGAGGCTTAGGGCTTAGAGCAGCATAGTGTAGGGGAACAGGAAGATTTGGAGGATCAGTTCTTGTAGGTGTGGGGAAGGTGCACAGCGATGGGAAAACATGTGCTAGTTGCAATTTTTGGTTCCTCTTGGGGGGTTCTGAGTTGTACCGAATTATTTTGGTTGTTGTGGTTGGTTGTGGTTGTGGTTGTGGTTGTGGTTGTGGTTGTGGTGGTGGTGGTTCTGGTTCTGGTCCTGCTCCTGGTCCTGGTCCTGGTGGTGGCTGTGGTGGTGGCTGTGGTGGTGGCTGTGGTGGTGGCTGTGGTGGTGGCTGTGGTGGTGGCTGTGGTGGTGGCTGTGGTGGTGGCTGTGGTGGTGGCTGTGGTGGTGGTGGTGGTGGTGGCTGTTGTTGTTGTTGTTGTTGTTGTTGTTGTTGTTGTTGTTGTTGTTGTTGCTTTTGCTGTTGCTGTTGTTGTTGTTGCTGCTGCTGGTGGTGGTGGCGGTGGCGGTGGTGGTGTTGTTGGTGTTGTTGGTGTTGTTGGTGTTGTTGGTGTTGTTGTTGTTGTTGGTGGTGGTGGTGGTGGTGGCGGTGGTGATGTTGGTGTTGGTGTCGGTGTCGGTGTTGTTGGTGTTGGTGTTGTTGTTGTTGTTGTTGGTGGTGGTGGTGTTGTTGCTGTTGTTGTTGTTGTTGCTGTGGTTGTTGTGGTGCTGCTGCTGCTGCTGCTGCCGCTGCTGCTGGTGGTGGTCGTGGGATGTGGGATGTGGGATGTGGGATGTGGGATGTGGGATGTGGTGTTTGTTGCTTGGTTCCTGAGTTTTGCATTTTCTCTTCAAGAGAACGCGCAGTAGCCAAGTTGTTGCAAGCTGAGTTAAAGTTACTGCATGTCCTGCAGGGCCTGGACAAGCTGGAGGATGTCTCACTGCCAGAGGCAGCTGACAAGCAGGCCAAGCCAAGCAATAAAGTATATAGGGCATCAAGATGAAGGAACTAAACTACTTGGTAAGCGGCTGATAGAACGCCGCCTGTTTTTCCAACCGTTGCAAGTTCACTTTCCCTGCGTCTTCTTTGGGATTTCTGCGTTTGTCCATTTTTTGGACCCTCTCAAATCCTGCGACAAACTACTTCGTTTTATCAATGTTGTATTTGTAAGTGTGTATCTCTTTTTATCACAAGCGTTGCAGGACGCGAGTTAAATTTTGATAGACTTCGTAAGGACTAGAGCAAGGTGTCCAAATTCTGTACAGCCATTGTTTTATCAAAGTATCGATTTCTGGGTGCATCTTGGGTCCTAAGTTCCCTCTGATTTTGCGAGGGAGAGTTGATCCAATGAATTCTTTTCCGATCAATACATTGCGTTCCTGCAACTTGGGGCAAGTGCTTGTTCAAAGACTACCATTAAAATCTTCATGAATCCCATCACTTCAACTCACAGAAAGTGGAATTGTTCTAAATGAATTTAAAGAAGCATGGGACATAGTCAAGCAAAAACATAACATCAAGAGCGTGTTAGAAGTTACTTGAAGAAGTGCAGAGCGTAACATCAAGAGCGTGTTTAGAAGTTACTTGAAGAAGCGCAGAGCGTAACATCAAGAGCGTGTCAGAAGTTCCTTGAAGAAGCGCAGAGCGTAACACCAAGAGCGTGTTAGAAGTTACAACATCAAGAGCGTGTTAGAAGTTACTTGAAGAAGTGCAGGGCGTAACATCAAGAGCGTGTTCTAAGTTACTTGAAGAAGCGCAGGGCGTGTTCGATGCACTGTGCACATGACGTTTCTACCCCACCTCACCCCACCCCACCCGATCGACATGGCAAGAGCGTGTTCGACGCACTGACCCCCCCACACCCCCCCCACCCCACCCCATCCACAGAGCAAGAGCGCGTGATAAAAAGTAGGCGAAACCAACGCACGAAAGCTGGCGGCCTTCTATCAGCCGCTAGCCAACTACTTGTACTTTTCCAATATGGTCACGTAGTGAGAAAACATGTTGCCCTGCAACTCTTTGAGCTGCCTTGTGTACTTTGCAGTTTTTACAACTGCCGCGCTGTATTCCGGGGAAGGCAATACCAGCTCTTATGCTCTCTCGTGTCCCTGGACCTGGGTGGAAAGACGAGGTGAAACAGGAGGTGCTCAAATTGAGATGGAGAGGGGGGAAGGGGCCCGCAGTGCTACAAGCTATTAGTTAGGATGGCCATTTGTGCCTGTGTATGTGTCCTGCTACTTTCGTTGCATTTTAAATCAAACCTTCTTCATCCTTCTGTGCCTTCTGTTACTTTCGGACAGCAACTGACAACCAGGTAGGAACCAGAAGATCAAGAAGGGGTTGATTCGTTAATCCGAACGTACTCGTAGGCTCCTGGCAAACTAAAGACTCGCAGCGGAAGCGGCAAGTGCAATACCAACCAATATTGTTGGAGTACCAAGTCCCTTCCAATTATGACAGATGTTGACCAGTGGCTTGTGGAGCTCGCATTGGCAGCTGCCAAAGGCGTGCAAACGGAGACAGTGTATAGTTCAATGGGGCTCTGTCAGGTCACGCCTGAGATTCTGGCAGCTGTGAAATCGGAAGTCTCTTCTCAGTTCGCCGCACTTCAAGCAGAGATGGCGTCTCGGCATTGAAGAAGCTGCATGGGCAGTTTGACTTTGACATGGCACAGCATGTCGCAGTGCAATCCAAATGGTGCCTTCGATAATGCATTTGCTTCATTGTGCCGTACGTATCTCGATACATTTTTGATCGTATTGATTTGTTCTATGACTGTTCTATGTGTTCGCATTGATTCAAACACTCTCACAATCAATCTGTGCTTTGCCACTAGTCTAGGGTCTTCAAATGTTGGCTGAAAATAGCAGAACAAAGAATCTAAGATGTTTCAGTTTTTTTCTGGACAGAGCGAGGCTGGCGGTTTTGGCACCAGTGCGTTCATTTGGCGGAAGTTTCAAAATTGAAACGCTTATAGCCTATAGCCTATAGAGCGGAAGCAAGACTGTGCCTATAGATCTATAGGGTGCGGATGGGTGCGGCCAAGCTTTCTCTGCTCCGCAGCAACAATCTCTCGACATTTCATTCCAGTGCCATTATTTCCGTTCAATTTTGGAATCTTACACATTTCGTTTGATCTCATCTCATCTCATCCCATCTCATCCCATCTCATTTCATCTCGCTTCATTTGACCCAATCTCTTCTCATTTCATCTCACATCTCATCTCATCTCATCTCATCTCATCTCATCTCATCCAGTCTCATCTCATTTCATCTCATGCCGTGTCTTCTCAACTTTTTTCATGTCATCTCATCTCATGCCCATTTCATCTTTTGTTTTTCCCCTGTACTTAGATACTTAGATCTTACATGTTACATTTTCTGACTTCCCATCGAAGCTCTTACCCTCCCCACATCTCCCCATGAAACACCGTAGCAGCCCTTTTTTTTCCATGCAGACGTTCAATTGGGAAGTTGGGTTCCTGCGCAGTCCGCAACAACGCACGCAATCAAGCATCTCGCGTGCAAGATGTCAATGCTAAGCAGACTAAGTACCACATGGATGGCGTATCCGCGTAGTACGTTGTCTGGTCAGACTTGTCAACGCCACAAGCAAAAGCATGCGCAGAGGTTTGCGCGGAACGCGGTCATGCGAGCCTGAAAGATGACCCTGACCCAACAGCCAGGGCTCGGCTAATGACAGTGACAGAGACGTGACGTGACACTGCAGGCAACCCGCAACAACGTACCTGCGGCAAGACAAGAAACGACTACACTGACCCCACAGCCAGGGCTCAGCTAATGACAGAGACGTGACGTGACACTGCAGGCAGCCCGCAACAACGTACCTGCGGCAAGACAAGCAAAGACTTCACTGACCCAGAAATCAAAGCTTGGCTGGCTAGTGACAGGGGCATGACATGGACTACACTGACCCAACAGTCAGGGCTCGACTAATCACAGAGACGTGACACGACACTTCAGGCAGCCTGCAACAATTTACCTGCAGCAAGACAAGCAAAGATTTCACTGACCTAGAAATCAAAGCTTGGCTAATGACAGGGACGTGACGTGACACTGCAGGCAGTTCGCAACAACGTACCTGTGGCGTGAGAACAAAGCAATCGTGCGAGGCTTCTTTCGAAAACTGAAAGTGGAAGAGGTGAAAACAATCGTGCGAGACTTCCCTCAAAAAATGAAAGTTGAAGATGTAAAAGCGAGGCTTTCATGCGAGACTTCCCCCCAAAAAAGTGACAGTTGAAGATGTGAAAACGAAGCTTTTGTAAGAGACTTCTTCAAAACCTGCAACTTCAAATTGGCAAAACAACGCCTGAAGTGGCACTGACACGGCGGGGCCGATCCGAGAATGATCCGAGCATAGCCGGGAGCGCTTCGCACCTGCCGCAGCGCGGCAAACCTTCCCCAATCCAGACCGCCCGGGACCCGTCACGCTGCAGGCCTTCCCCACCCATCCTCCGAGGCACGTTTTGCGTTGCAAAACGCAGCATTTCGCGCATCGCTATCTCTCAAAAACGCGTTGCACGCGAGACTTCCCTCGAAAAGTGAAAGTTGAAGTTGCTCAAACGACGCTTTCGTGCGAGACATCCCGCAAAGTGAACGTTGAAGATGTGAAAACGAAGCTGCCGTGCGAGGCATCCCTCAAAAGGCGAACGTTGAAGATGCGAAAAGGACGCTTTAGTGTGAGACGTGTCTCTCAAAAAGTGAAAGTTCAAGATGTGAAAACGAAGCTGTCGTGCGAGACATCCTTCAAAAAGTGAACGTTACAGATGTGATAACGAACGCTTTCGTGCGAGACGTGTCCCTCAAAAACTGAAAGATGTGAAAATGACGCTTTCGTGCGAGACTTCTTGGACATCCATTGCTTGGACATCCTTTGCTGTGACATCCATTGCTGTGACAATCCATTTCTGTGACATCCTTTGCTGTGACATCCACTGCTGTGTCAATCCATTGCCCCATTGTGACAATCCACTGCTGTGACAATCTGTTGCTGTGACCACCCATTGCTGTGGCAATCCACTGCTGCGACAATCCGCTGCTGTGACAACCCAATCCATTGCTGTGACAATCTATGGCTGTGGGCTTCCAAATGTCCGTACCGCGGAAGTTAGACTTCTAAACTCCCCGTGATTAAGATATCATTAAGCGATGGAGACCATGTCGCACAAGGAAGCAGAAGGTTTAGTTTAGACGAGCCCAGCATTGGAATGTTTTGGAAGATGCTGATTGAAGACAGTCACAAAAAACCATTGCTGAGACTCGGGTCCTTTCGAGTAATTATAGAACATTCCGCAGTGCATGCGAGCAATGCAAATACTGTCTTGGGATAGCTCTGATGTCTTTCCTGGTGGTTTTGCTTCCTGTCTTGGGATAACTCTGATGTCTTTCCTGGTGGTTTTGCCTCCTGTCTTGGGATAGCTCTGATGTCTTTCCTGGTGGTTTTGCCTCCTGTCTTGGGATAGCTCTGATGTCTGATGTCTTTCCTGGTGGTTTTGCCTCCTG